GCGTGGAGAAGGTTGCCTCGGACGGCGGACCCCAGGTGAGTGGGACAAGGAAGAAGTATATATACAAATACTGTGTTCTTGGAATGTCTCTCACTTGATACAGCTATCGTGCTGTGACGGTTCCACCTGAAGACGGAAGCTTGTGCTGCCTCCGAAACGTCGTGATTTTTATTTTATTTTTATTTTACTTTTATTAATTTTAATTTTTTTACCTACGTGACTTTACCGAAAAAACCTAAGAATAAGGAAGAAGAAGCAGCAGAACAGTGACCCAAGGAGGGCGGCCCGGAGCCATCCACGTGCCCCAGGTAGGGCTCTGTCGCCCCCTGCTGTGGCGGGACCGTCGCCTTCACGCCGATGCGGAGCAAATGCAAAATCTGCCGGATGCCATCGCGAGAAGAGCAATCAATCACCTCTCATTGCCCAGGGATGGCTGGCTCACCGAACGTGGTTGGCGGTAGGGTTAGTGTCTGGGTGGCTAGTGTGGTGAGGGTCAGGGTTAGTGTCTGGGTGGCAAGTGTGGTGAGGGTCAGTGTCTGTGTGGCTAGTGTGGTGAGGGTCAGGGTTAGTGTCTGGGTGGCTGGTGTAGTTAGGGTCAGGGTTAGTGTCTGGGTGGCTAGTGTGGTTAGGGTCAGGGTTAGTGTCTGGGTGGCTAGTGTGGTGAGGGTCAGGGTTAGTGTCTGGGTGGCAAGTGTGGTGAGGGTCAGTGTCTGTGTGGCTAGTGTGGTGAGGGTCAGGGTTAGTGTCTGGGTGGCTGGTGTAGTTAGGGTCAGGGTTAGTGTCTGGGTGGTTAGTGTGGTTAGGGTCAGGGTTAGTGTCTGGGTGGCTAGTGTGGTGAGGGTCAGGGTTAGTGTCTGGGTGGCAAGTGTGGTTAGAGTCAGGGCTAGTGTCTGGGTGGCTAGTGTGGTGAGGGTCAGTGTCTGTGTGGCTAGTGTGGTTAGGGTCAGGGCTGGTGTCTGGGTGGCTAGTGTGGTTAGGGTCAGGGTTAGTGTCTGTGTGGCTAGTGTGGTTAGGGTCAGGGTTAGTGTCTGTGTGGCTAGTGTGGTTAGAGTCAGGGCTAGTGTCTGGGTGGCTGGTGTGGTGAGGGTCAGGGTTTGTGTCTGGGTGGCTAGTGTGGTAAGGGTCAGGGCTTGTGTCTGGGTGGCTGGTGTGGTTAGGGTCAGGGCTCGTGTCTGGGTGGCTGGTGTGGTTAGGGTCAGGGTCAGGGTCAGTGTCTGGGTGGCTAGTGTGGTTAGGCTCAGGGCTGGTGTCTGGGTGGCTAGTGTGATGAGGGTCAGGGCTGGTGTCTGGGTGGCTAGTGTGATGAGGGTCAGGGCTGGTGTCTGGGTGGCTAGTGTGGTTAGGGTCAGGGCTGGTGTCTGGGTTGCTAGTGTGGTGAGGGTCAGTGTCTGGGTGGATAGTGTGGTTAGGGTCAGGGTTAGTGTCTGGGTGGCAAGTGTGGTTATGGTCAGGGTCAGTGTCTGGGTGGCAAGTGTGGTTAGGGTCAGGATTAGTGTCTGGGTGGCTAGTGTGGTGAGGGTCAGGGTTAGTGTCTGGGTGGCTAGTGTGGTTAGGGTCAGGGTTAGTGTCTGGGTGGCTAGTGGGGTTAGGGTCAGGGTTAGTGTCTGGGTGGCTAGTGTGGTGAGGGTCAGGGTTAGTGTCTGGGTGGCTAGTGTGGTGAGGGTCAGGGTTAGTGTCTGGGTGGCTAGTGTGGTGAGGGTCAGGGTTAGTGTCTGGGTGGCTAGTGTGGTTGGGGTCAGGGCTGGTGTCTGGGTGGCTAGTGTGGTTAGGGTCAGGGCTGGTGTCTGGGTGGCTAGTGTGGTGAGGGTCAGGGTTAGTGTCTGGGTGGCTAGTGTGGTTGGGGTCAGGGCTGGTGTCTGGGTGGCTAGTGTGGTGAGGGTCAGGGTTAGTGTCTGGGTGGCTAGTGTGGTTGGGGTCAGGGTTAGTGTCTGGGTGGCTAGTGTGGTGAGGGTCAGGGTTAGTGTCTGGGTGGCTAGTGTGGTTGGGGTCAGGGTTAGTGTCTGGGTGGCTAGTGTGGTGAGGGTCAGGGTTAGTGTCTGGGTGGCTAGTGTGGTTAGGGTCAGGGTTAGTGTCTGTGTGGCTAGTGTGGTGAGGGTCAGGGTTAGTGTCTGGGTGGCTAGTGTGGTTGGGGTCAGGGTTAGTGTCTGGGTGGCTAGTGTGGTGAGGGTCAGGGTTAGTGTCTGGGTGGCTAGTGTGGTTAGGGTCAGGGTTAGTGTCTGGGTGGCTAGTGTGGTTGGGGTCAAGGCTGGTGTCTGGGTGGCTAGTGTGGTTAGGGTCAGGGCTGGTGTCTGGGTGGCTAGTGTGGTTAGGGTCAGGGTTAGTGTCTGGGTGGCTAGTGTGGTTGGGGTCAAGGCTGGTGTCTGGGTGGCTAGTGTGGTTAGGGTCAGGGCTGGTGTCTGGGTGGCTAGTGTGGTGAGGGTCAGGGTTAGTGTCTGGGTGGCTAGTGTGGTGAGGGTCAGTGTTAGTGTCTGGGTGGCTAGTGCGGTTGGGGTCAGGGCTGGTGTCTGGGTGGCTAGTGTGGTGAGGGTCAGGGTTAGTGTCTGGGTGGCTAGTGTGGTGAGGGTCAGGGTTAGTGTCTGGGTGGCTAGTGTGGTTAGGGTCAGGGTTAGTGTCTTTGTGGCTAGTGTGGTTAGGGTCAGGGCTGGTGTCTGGGTGGCTAGTGTGGTTAGGGTCAGGGCTGGTGTCTGGGTGGCTAGTGTGGTAAGGGTCAAGGTTAGTGTCTGGGTGGCTAGTGTGGTTACGTCAGGGTATTCATTCTAGATTTGAAGCTTCCGTGATTGCAAGGATTCATATTCTTAGGTTTTTCGGTAAAGTCACGTAGGTAAAAAAATAAAATTAATAAAAGTAAAATAAAAATAAAATAAAAAATAAAATACAATTAATTAATTTTCATTTTTTACCTACGTGACTTTACCGAAAAAAACCTAAGAATATGAATCCTTGCAGTCACGAAAGCTTCAAATCTAGAATACAAATCTTTTCTTTTTCTACGGATGTCCAGTACGGACTGGAGGGAAAGGGGCGGGGCTATAAGAATAGGGGGGGCGTGGCTTGGAAGAAATGGGCGGGGCCACTTGCGAGGGGGGCGGGGCCTTGAGGGGTGGAGGCGGAGCTAATTAAACATGGCGCTGTGCGATGGAGGAGGGGAAGGTAGGGGGGGGGGCTGTTGGGGGAAGGGGAGGGGCTGTGAGGGGAAGGTAGGGGGGGGGCTGTTGGGGGGGGGGGGCTGTTGGGGGAAGGGGAGGGGGTGAGAGACTCTGGGAAGGGGGGGTTTGGGGAAAAGGCGGGAATTTGGGGAGAGGCGGGGCTATGGGGGGGGCTGTGGGGGGGGGGCGGGGCTGTGGGGGAGGGGCGGGGCTGTGAGGAGGGGGTAGGGGCTCTGGGAAGCGGGGGGTATGGGGAAAAGGGGGGATGTGGGGAGGGGCGGGGCTGTGGGGGAGGGGCGGGGCTGTGGGGGAGGGGCGGGGCTGTGGGGGAGGGGCGGGGCTGTGGGGGAGGGGCGGGGCTGTGGGGGAGGGGCGGGGCTGTGGGGGAGGGGCGGGGCTGTGGGGGAGGGGCGGGGCTTCGCCCCCCTCACGGGACGTCTGAGACGCAGCTTGCTGCTGCTTCGTCTTCTTCCTTCGGCAGCGGAAACAACAGCAGCGGGCAGAGATGGATGGATGAATAAATACAGCAGACAGACACCCGTAGAGGTAGACACGGACCCGTGGGATACTCACCCTCGCATACAGAGAGATACACAGAGATACACACACGCGTACACCCCACCGTGTACAACACCCTGAAGCCCAGTCGCACACCACCCATATACTACTGACACCATCCCACAGCCTCTCTCACTCACACACGCGCACAGCAAACAAATCCCCCTCACGCATCTCACCTCACACCACACACACACCACACACACACCACACACACCACACACACACCTACACACACACCACACACACACCACACACACACCACACACACCTAACCACACGCCTCACACGCACCACACGCACCTCACCACACGCACCACACGCACCACACGCACACACTACACACCTCACCTCACACCCCACACTCACGTCACACACCACACTCACCTCACACACCACACACACTATACACACACTACACACCACACACACACACACCACACACACCACACACACACACACCACACACACACCACACCTCACACACCCACACACACACACCACACACACCACCCCACCACACACACACACCTCACTCACCTCACACCACACACACCACACACACACCACACCTCACACCACACACACCTCACACACACACCACACACCACTCACACACCACACACCACACACACACCACACACACCACGCCACACACACACACACCACACACACACACACCACACACACACACCACACACACACACCACACAACACACACACCTCACACACACACCTCACACACACAGCTCACTCCCTCACACCACACACACCACACACACACACCACACACACACCACACACCACGCCACACACACCACACACAGCTCACTCACCTCACACCACATAGACACACCACACCACCACACACACACACACACACACACACCACACACACCACAACACACCACACACCTCACACACACACCACACACCTCACACACACACCACACCACACACACACCACACACACACACACACCACACACCACACACCCACACACACACCACACACACACACACACCACACACACACCACACACACACACACCACACACACACACCACACACACACCACACACACCACACACACACACACACACACCACACACACCACACACACCACACACACACACACACCACACACACCACACACACACACCACACACACACCACACCACACACACACCACACACACCACACACACCACACACACACCACACCACACACACACCACACACACCACACACACACCACACCACACACACACCACACACACCACACACACACCACACCACACACACACCACACACACCACACACACACACCACACACACACCACACACACCACACACACCTCACGCACCTTGACACAGCCCACACTGACGCATGCAAATCAACATCACACCGTGACGGATGGAGCGCGTGGAGTCTGCACCACCATCACCACCACCATCGTCAGTACCACCACCGTCACCACCATCGTCACCACCACCACCACCACAGTCAGCATCAGCATCTCCGTGTCCCCACGCCTCTTAATTAACGACATCGTCCCATTCTGAAGTTGGGATCCTAGCTGGAATCGGGGGGTGAGGTGGGGGGGGGGGAGATCGGGTGGTCCGAATTTGGCGTCAAGGATCCCCGCCTGGGACGTGGCTGAGAAGGAGAGTGACGGAGCCGAGCACGGAGCGGCCGCGACCTGCGCGTGGTGGTGGTGGTGACGGTGGTGAGGGTGGTGGTGGTGGTGACGGTGGTGAGGGTGGTGGTGGTGGTGACGGTGGTGAGGGTGGTGGTGACGAGCCATGGCCCAAGGGAAACGCGGCGCCAGCTCAGCCGACGAGACCCCCAACACCATCGTGTACAGGAAGGTGAGGCGCCTCCTCCTCCACCACCTCACCACACTCCACCTCATTCACCCTCCACCACCTCACCACACTCCACCTCACCCCACACCGCCTCACCACTCAGCCTCACCCCACACCGCCTCACCGCACACCTCACTCACCACACACCGCCTCACCGCACGCCTGCTCACCCAACTCACCCCACTCAGCCTCACCCCGCACCGCCTCACCACACACCTCACTCACCACACACCTCACTCACCACACACCTCACTCACCACACACGCACGCCTGCTCACCACACACCGCCTCACCGCACGCCTGCTCACCACACACCGCCTCACCGCACGCCTGCTCACCACACACCGCCTCACCTCACTCACCACACACCGCACGCCTGCTCACCACTCACCACACACCGCACGCCTGCTCACCCAACTCACCCTCACCGGGTGCGGTCTCCAATCAAAATCTTCGCCCTCCTCGCGCGCCCCGACTGGACGGATCCACCAGAGACAAAGATCCCCCGTGTAGCCTCAACATACTGTTGGGGCAAGTGCCGTTAGCGAGCAGCACCTATGAAGGCCGGTGCCGTGGCACGCGAGGCGGTGGGTGGCCAGCACCACGCCCGACCGCCTTTGTCTCCCCAGTGGCGATGTTTTACACACCGCATCAGGTACTCATTTGAGGCTGAGTCGACCTAGGGGAGGCCCAGGACCGGTTCAGATAATCGTCACCGGTGTTTGGTGGCCGTGAGCGGGAATCGAACTCGGGTGGCCGGGTTCGTAGCGCGGCGTAGTTCGCCTGGACGAACCCACCACCACCACAGCCTCCACCACCACCACCACCACAGCCTCCACCACCACCACCATAGCCACCACCATAGCCTCCACCACCACCATAGCCTCCCCCACCACCACCATAGCCACCACCATAGCCTCCCCCACCACCATAGCCACCACCACCACCATAGCCTCCACCACCACAGCCTCCACCACCACCACCATAGCCTCCACCACCACCACCATAGCCTCCACCACCACCACCATAGCCTCCACCACCACCACCATAGCCTCCACCACCACCACAGCCTCCACCACCACCACCATAGCCTCCCCCACCACCACCACCACAGCCTCCACCACCACCACCATAGCCTCCCCCACCACCACCACCACAGCCTCTACCACCACCACCATAGCCTCCACCACCACAGCCTCCACCACCACCACCATAGCCTCCACCACCATAGCCTCCACCACCACCACCATAGCCTCCCCCACCACCACCACCATAGCCTCCACCACCACCACCACCATAGCCTCCACCACCACCACCATAGCCTCCACCACCACCACCACCACCACAGCCTCCACCACCACCACCATAGCCTCCACCACCACCACCATAGCCTCCCCCACCACCACCATAGCCTCCACCACCACCACCACCATAGCCTCCACCACCACCACCACAGCCTCCACCACCACCACCACAGCCTCCCCCACCACCACCACCATAGCCTCCACCACCACCACCACAGCCTCCACCACCACAGCCTCCACCACCACCACCACAGCCTCCACCACCATAGCCTCCACCACCACCACCACAGCCTCCACCACCATAGCCACCACCACCACAGCCTCCACCACCACCACAGCCTCCACCACCACAGCCTCCACCACCACCACCATAGCCTCCACCACCACCACCACCATAGCCACCACCACCACAGCCTCCCCCACCACCATAGCCACCACCACCACCACCATAGCCACCACCACCACCACAGCCTCCACCACCACCACCATAGCCACCACCACCACCATAGCCACCACCACAGCCTCCACCACCACCACCACAGCCTCCACCACCACCACCACAGTCTCCACCACCACCACCACAGCCTCCACCACCACCACCATAGCCTCCCCCACCACCACCACCACCACAGCCTCCACCACCACCACCATAGCCTCCACCACCACCACCATAGCCTCCACCACCACCACCACCACCACAGCCTCTACCACCACCACCATAGCCTCCCCCACCACCACCACCACCACAGCCTCCACCACCACCACCACCCACAGCCTCCCCCACCACCACCACCACCACAGCCTCCCCCACCACCACCACCACCACAGCCTCCACCACCACCACCATAGCCTCCACCACCACCACCACCACCACAGCCTCTACCACCACCACCATAGCCTCCCCCACCACCACCACCACAGCCTCCACCACCACCACCACCACAGCCTCCCCCACCACCACCACCACCACAGCCTCCCCACGTGTGTTTCGGGCTGTGTCGCGTGTTGGGCGCTCCATCAACAACAACGGCACTTGTTGAAGGAGCTGCCAACGGCACGTGGAGCGAAACGTCGGACGTCGTGCCAAATACAACACGCGTGCCGCGCAACCTCTAACAAAACCACACACACGCACACACACTACGGGAGGGCCGCAGAGTAAACAAACAGGTTGCTTGAACCCCCGGTGAACCCGGTCTGATCCAACTTGACCTGAACCAAGCCCGGGTTTTTGTTTTTAAAATCTGACCTCACTTGACCCCGACCCCACTTGACCCCGACCCCACACCCCCCGGTCCGGGCCCTGAGGTCCGTTCAACCGCCCCTCACGTCGCCCTCCAGCTTTCGAACTTTCTTCTGGCTGAACCCACCTCACCCGACCCCTTGACCTGACCCCTTGACCCGAGGCTTCTCTACACCGACGTAAAGTTACCCCATCATCACCGCCACCACCACCACCACGGTCTATCCACTGCGGGATGAAGGCCCCACTCTCACCCAGGCTTGTCGCCAGCTTCCACGCTCTCGCTACGCCACAAACCCCATCGGGCTCCATCTCATTGGCTCGTGTTTCCATGCATGGATGTTACAGTACGTTTGACTTCTTTCGCACCGTACGTAGCAGACCGCGCTAATCGGAGGTGCGGGGGAAGGACACGAATCTGAACGCGAGCAAAACTATTTTAAATAAAAATAATAAAATAATAAAAATAAAACATAATAAAATAATTCTCACGACGTTTCGGCCACAACGCAAGCAGCCGTCTTCAGACCTGTTCTCCACCTGAAGACGGCTGCTTGCGTTGTGGCCGAAACGTCGTGAGAATTATTAAATGTTTTATTTTTTATTATTTTATTATTTTCCTTCTACGTGACTTTACCAAAAGAACCAAGAAGATGAATCCCTGCAGTCACGAAAGCTTTAAATCGAAATTTATTTTAAAGAAATTAGTTTTCAATCGAGATGGTCTAAAAGTGCCTAGCTCCAGTGGCTTCCTCATATCGGATGTAAGAACGTTCCAGACGGCCGCGTCTGAAAGCGGCGTCTGAAAGCGTCGCTCGAAGCGGTGACCGCCGCCTTTGTTCGACGGCCGGCCAAAATCCGCTGCTACTGCGAGCGTGGCCGGAGTTCGTGTGGTTTATAGTCCCTGGACGAGATCAGCAAAGGTGGTTCTTTTGTGGCAGGCGCTCCGTGCGTGATGAGTGCGTGACCTTATACTGACGTATTCCATGCTTCGGCTGCAAACTCCGTCGTGAGTCTCTCAGCCATCGAGTAACCCAACCCTGAGGATCCGTGATGTGTCCCTGTTTATTCGGGGTCGCTGCGATGCCTCTTCACCCGCGAATGTTCTTAGCTATTATCTGACCCCCACATTAGGCATTGCCTGACCCTGACCGTGACCACATCTTAACGAGCTCACTCCCACCAATGGTCGAGTTATAATGGTATTGCTTTATGCCTTACTGGTAACCAGGTGAATGAACCTATCAAAACAAATCCGGTTTTTCCACGCGTACAGAAATGTCTGGCAAGTGCGTAACAACGTCGCTGTTCGCCGATTTTAACTTAGAATACGAAGGCAGCCGCGAAGGTGGTGAAATGGTGAGCGCTCTGGACTTGACAACTCGGAGGATGTCGGTTGGATTCCGTCTCCCGGCGTGGAAGCCGAAACAATGGGGTTTGAAATAGAAAGAGAGCGAGAGAATGCTGTGGTGCAGTTCAGTGATGTGCAGAGACGATAGGAGAATCACGTGGGTCCGTAGCTGCGAGTGGAAGGAATGAGCTCAAGAGGAAGGAGGCAGAAGGAGAGGTGGTGGTGGGGGGGGGGGGCGATGGTTCGCGATCGGATCTTGGTGGCCCCAGGAGTGGAGAGAGAGAGAGGTGGCGCAGGTCAGCGTGGAGAAGGTTGGCTATGACGGCAGACCCAACGTGAGTGGGACAAACGCGTGGAATGAGAAGAAGAAGATGACTTTATGATTATGCTTTGTTTATCTCGGAATTCTTCAACATGGGACCTGACAAGGTTTAGTTATTCGCACTGAGCTGGCAATGCCACTGCTGCTGCTGCTGCTTGTTGTGTGATCCCAATATGGGGAGTGGTGGGGCAGCGGTTAGCGCACTGCGCTACGAACCCGGTGACACAAGTTCCATTCCCGCTCACGGCCAGCGCCAGTGACAGAAATTATCTGAACCGGTCCTGGGGCTCTCCTAGGTCGACTCAGTCTCAAATGAGTCCCTGGTGCGGTGGGTAGTAAACATCGCCACTGGGGAGACAAAGGCGGTCGGGCGTCGTGCTGGCCACCCACCCACCCCCTCGTGTGCCGTGCCAGTCTTTATAGGTGCTCGCTAACAGCACTTGCCCCTACAGTCTGTTAAGGCTACACGGGGGTTCTTTGTCTTTGATCCCATTTGAGTAAGGGGCCGTCCATAAATGACGTCACTCACCTAGGGGGGGGGGTCAGACATTTGTGACGATGTGTGACGAGAGGGGGGGGGGTTTGAGAATCGTGACGTCACATCAAAATGCGCAACTTTAAATGAATATAGACAACACGTTCTACTTAATTAAATAGACTTTTTAATCAATGTTTTTCCTACAACATCAGAGTGTAGCGATATATTAAATACGCACTACAATGACAATAGTTTAAAGCGATTTGAAGCATGTTTTTTTGTGGGGGGGGGGGGGGGGGGCAGAG